TAGATCGGTATAGAGTGATTTGGTTAATTTTCTTTCATATTGGTTCTGTTATTTTTGCTCGATTGTATGAGTATGTATATTTGTATGTGTTAGCGTCTATATGCAATACGGTTCCTAAATCAGATTTGTCCAAGGTTAAATCTCATGTTCTGATCCTTAAGACCTAATAACTCAAGAGTAAATCTTTGACTAAGACTGACTCGGTCCGTAGATAAGTATGGTTGAGATAATGAAATATGAGTTTTTATGCATGATAATCAAGTTACGAAACCATTTGTCCTAACCTTTCTGTCAAGGGTCATTAACGTTTAACCCTCCAAGGAAAGGAAAGACTGAGGTTACGTAATCTGACATCTCTGGTTTGTTTGAAGAGCTTAATCTAACATTTTGGGCGAGGTTGATTGAAATTATAACCATCACTGAGCAGACAAATCGAGTCGCCTTCTTTTTGAAGGCAGCTCTCCTTCAATTTTCAATCAAGCATAAGCAGCTCTTATTCAACTTACTACCACTATTACTCACAATCAACGTACTCCCAAACTAAAGAGTTGGAACGGCTGATAAATTTATTCCTGGAAAATAATTATCCTTTAGGCCTTATTGAGAATAATATCTCTTTATTGAGGGACACATTTTTAGACGGAAACCATTCAATCAAGGATAGACAGACTGAGACCTTTTCCCATGTCCTTATTTTACCGTCATGCTTTCTCTTAAAAAAGATAGGCGAATTAGTGAAGAAGTGGGGCATAAAAACAGTACTCAAAGAAAGCCTCACACTTTCTTCTGTTATGCCATCATTTAAAGAGATTGGGAGAACACAAAAATGCTTGCAAAGGTAGCTGGATCCAACGGTCAGAAGTGGCCGAACACGTGGTAGATACTGGGCCTGAAATAAGATAATGTCAAACTTGTAGGTTTGCTGATTATGGTACGTCTGTGCTTAGAAGAAAGATAAGAGAAGCTATTGAAATTAATAGCTTATGAAATACATTGAATGTAAGAAACAAAGGCAAAAAGTTGGGTAGGAACTATTTTTGCTTAAAGGAGAGAGAAGGTGTTGAGCAGCCTTCAAAAAGAAGGCGACTCAATTTGTCTGCTCAGTGATGGTTCTAATTTCACTCACATTCGCCCAAAATGTTAGATTAAGCTCTTCAAACAAACCAGACATGTCAGATCACGCAACCCCAGTCTTGCCTTTCCTTGGAGGGTTAAACCTCAATGACTTTCGACGGAAAGGTTAGGAAAAATAGTTTCGACCCTTGAGTGACTCAAGAGTGCTCGTGACAGTGTAGCCGAGTGGTTAGCGTGTCAAGCTACCGTCCTGCATTGTCGCGGTTCGAATCCCGC